ATTCTTTCTAGTATAGCCTTTCAAAAGCCCAAAAGAGGCTAGATTGGTCTTTAAGTTCAAGATTTGTGGACTATTTCTGTGAATCGCCACCTCGGCCTCCCCACCGAGGAACTGACGACAAATGAGATGTCTATCTTATGACGCAACGCGAGGCATTTATGAAAATGAATACTGAAGGTATTTATTTACGTAAATTCTCCACACAGAGAAATGCCTTAAAATTAATTTAACCGATGTCTCACAAAAAATCTCTCCAAGCATAGATTTTATTTCGAGTGATAATCTATAAACCCGGCTGAAATTATATTGCCATCTGGTTTAATAAGCTGTCCATCAAAGCGATATTTAAGCGCGAATACAGATTTCTTTTATCAAAAATTTGTTAAAAAAATAAATTTAATGGGCCCCAAAATTGGTCTGTTTAATGACACAGTGACTAAGTTGATTATGTCAGATCTCCTCACGAAAGGCCAAAATGAGATTACTCGGCTAAGAGTAGAAAGATCTGCGTATGAGTTAAAGTATTTTGGTCTAATATTAATTACATTGGCATCAAACAATTATTTAGGAACATTACAATGTTTCGCGATCTCCGCAGACAAATGCCTTTAAAATCTGGTCACAAAATGCCGAATTTTAAGAAAATCGCTCCAAATTGTTGTGACAATCGGAAACTCTAACAAAACGAAATTATGCTAGAAAGCCGAATTAGCAAGGCTGATAATGGCTTATTCACTTGAATACTGCCAGAGTTATACCCTTGCCAGGCTACAACTTTGCTGAAATTGTGCTTAACTTTTACAAGCTGTTATTTAAATCAACTATTCGGTGAGTGCCTGTGTTCGACTAAGCTGGAAGCCCTATTCCAGCTCGATATTCCACACACAAGTCTTCATGACTGTATAAAGTTATCATGAATCTTTATAAATATACGTAACTATATGTAATGACCAAACAGTTTTCCTCATAACTTAAAATGACGTTAAATTAACCAAATCATTTGCTGGCTCACCTTTATCTTTAATAACGTGTCAGGGCTAAAAAATATATCTCCTTCGTTTCTTTCTTCATGGAGAGAAGGATTCGGAGAAGAATTTCGTCGAAAGGTTGGAATCTTTAGACGTGGCATGGCAGTGCGATGTTTTTCTGATTTCTCCGCCATTTCGTTTACCCTCAAATGAACAGCTAATCAGGAGACTCCATGTTCAGTCTAAATTCCCATGTGTTTCTTCATTCGACATCATGATCTGGTTCAAACTCTTCGTGATAAACTGATCCACCAGGCTATTTTAAGAATTATGAAAACTGTATCGAAATCTTATCCCAGTCCTTTTGCTGTTCGCTCTTTCTCCCGCATCGCCTACGACTTAATATTCACGCCTCTTAGAGAGGCGATATTCAGCAAACCGGATATATGTTGATATTGTGGTCAGTTTTGCTCTTCTTTATTTGAATTCAAAGTCATGTAAATAGGATACAGTTTTGAATTAATAGAGATAATCATTAACATAATTGTTTACCACAAAGAGCATTGTAGCGTTACTGCATACTGATCAGTCAGCTCTTTCGGCAGGAGAGACCATATACCACAGTGACCGCCGAAAAACCGGCCATCTAACATCAAACAACACTGAAAACTTGTACCAAATGTTCAGATAGCACCCTTTATTTGCCAATATTAAGAAGTTTTATCTATCCAGGTGTTTCTTCAACGAGGAAATGTAATTTTGATTCCAAAGATTCACAAACATACGAAAGGGTAAGGGTTTATGGTATAAGGTGCTATAAAAATAGACCATCTTAGACTTTTTCCATTTCTCCGATGAAATTTGTTGCATTGGCTTGAAAAATTCCTCGCGAGCTTCTTAAACACTAATTGCTTATGGGAGTGTTATTGGTTTTTTTATGATAAATGAGTTTGTCATAATTTCAATGGCCAATTTGAAGAAGGGGTCCCTAACCGATATTGTTTGGTTAGCTCCAGACCAATTTGGGGTTAAGATGTTTCAGCCCGCGGAGGGGAGGGGGGTGGCTTTTCATCAGATTCATCAGCAAGTGTACGTCTACAAACGCAAATGTCTCTTCAAATGATTAATGGACAAGAGAGGTGACTAAAATAAATCACTCGAGCTGAATCAGTTGCTAATTCCTGTCTCCGGCATTGATGGCGGGTCTGAAAAAGGGTGTAGGTTTCAATTAAGGCATAGTTTGAAATAGGATGCGGAAAATAGCATGCTCGGATCAGAAATAGTATAAAAGAATTTGAGGACTGGCGACACACCCCTAGCAAGAATTTCGATTTCTGTCGCACCATCTCTACCCTATATATTGCAATTAGTGTATGATATTGGCGATAGGCGAACAACACAGATCTTTTTCTGTCACGTCCGAATCGGAAAGATTTGTAAATCAACTAAACCTTCTGATAGAGTAAACGAGACAATGTTTAGTAGGAGGTCTACGAAAATCACATACATGCACCTGCCCGCATAAAATTCCGGTAAAACAACTAAGATCAAAATTTTGAGATGTGTTTATTGTTTTAGGTCACAAAACAGAATTAAAAAATACAGTCGGATCTCATATAAGATCTGATCGTTGTGTTATTATTATATATTATTATTATTGTTATTACCATTAAATTAACTAGGTATGTAGGTCATGTATCCTTTTGCGTCACGTTGCTTTTATGCTGTCTTCAACAAAAATCACGATTTAATAAGATTGCGCGCGTCCTTTTTCCTCCAAGAACCAATGCAACATGGACGCAAGTTTTTCTTTTCTTTTTACCTAACAGCCTATTTCCAACTTTTTTATTACTTTAAAACACGACGGCTTATTTTTGTTGTATACTCCGGACTATTCCACTCTATACTGGATTTATTTCGCCAGCACTGATAGAAGAACTAGGGAAGCTAATAACTGCTATTTTAACGAAATTGCAGCTGAAGTCCTCTGCGCCAATTACAAAAATAACCTTTCCATCGATATGCTTGTCAACCTAAACTAGGCAGTGGTGCGAGGGTGTTTTCTGGGACTTTCTCTTTGCTATGTGTTAGGTATTTCTGATTTGTCTCCTAAATGATCTTTATGCGGAAAAGGAGATAATTCTAGCACAAAGAGAAACCTTTGGACTTCTTTCGGAATCTTTTGATTTGATTAAAGACTCGCACTTCAAGAGCAAAAGCCCTGTTTTTTTTTTGGTGGAGATGGAGTGAAGTGGTAAACACAAAATTTTGCATTTGCTTAGGGCCTGGACGTACTGGACTGACAAATTTGTTTGGCCCTACAAAAAATCTCGACAAAATTTGTCTCTGCGGAATTTTCTATTTGTCAAGCGTGGGCGCACTGAGACACAGCAAAATATTTGTTACCCACATGTGTCAATCACATGAGACAAGAGCCTCCATCGCAACGTTCGAAGATTTTTCGGATCTATCAAACATAGCAGGCGTCATCGATGGGACACATATAAAAATAAAGGCCCCAAAAAGAAAGCGCTGTCGACTACTTTAGCCGATATAAATTGAACAGTACTTGGCCCTGAAGATGCAGCTGGAACGTAAACTTGGGAACCGTAATAGTTGTATTCTGAGTAAGGATCGTTATGCAGCATTCCAAGGTACGAATCTTCCATCTTCACCGTTGATTGCCGTGCAACTAAGAAATAATTTCGGCGGGCTTCGGATTAAAATACTCTGACTAAAAGGATAGATAAAATTTTCTTGATTGACATTTTCCTTCAATCATGGCCCGTGAATTGACAAATCTGTCAGATTTCATGCCTGACAAAAATTTTTCCTGCTCCGAGGCAGGACGACGGCGTCTTGAAGTTTGGTAAGCCTTGACAAAATTTGGAAGGGAACTGGTGATATATTTTTTTTCGCAAAATAAACAAAATTTGCCTTATTTCAATTCCTATCTTAGATCACGACTCATGCACGAGTGGGTGTGCAGCTCGAAATAGGAGCCTGAGTGTTTGATGCCGTCCTCTCGGGCTGAAAACATTTTGTGCGCCGCTGTGTGATAAGTGGGAAAAATGGAAACGTATTCCCCATCCAAATACACGCGCACGGCATGGCCTCTGGTGGTTATAGGTAAAACAGGCTAGTTTACATGCAAGAAAAAATTTTAAAGTAAAGCTTGAAAAGTTCGAGAGCAGAGATGAATACATAACAAATGTCAAACCTTATCGACGCCCTACAACAAAAGACGCAATTAACGCCATAGCGGCCCACGTGCTTACACACCGACAGGAAAATATTTACCTTCTCCGTCACTGCCACTTCAAGTTAAGTTCCGCTGAATGTTTTTACATGTAAGCAAAGCTTGAAGTCGAATTAAAAAGTAGCGCTCCTTTTTTACGTAGCGGGCCATGTAGTCATTTCAGCTTCTTAGCGAATTATAGGGTGGTGTCGTTGGGATGCATAAGTATCTCCCAAGCAAGTTACAAGTGTAAATTGTGCACATGTCCTCTTTTTTTGCTCTTGAAGTGCGAGTCTTCATATTATTGAACCAAATCTAGCTTTTATAAATTGATTTTTGTTTGCTCAAACGTCTTGGGCAATTCAGGGACATTTCTGGAAAAATCCTCATTGGCTGAAGGCGAGAATATCGAACAATAATGATTGACAATTGTTGAAAGGCTGCGATGAAAAATGTTTTTATATGATGTCAAAACTGACCATTATCTGTTTTTCCTTGAAAAGCTGAACTTGCAAAGACGAGTGGATAATTTATATCTTCATTTTTGTTGCGTTGGGATTTAAAACGCCGATTTTTCCTTGTGAAAATTGGACGACTTGGTTATTTGAGAGCTTTTGGAACAAAAAAGTGATGTTTTTTCCTTCTTTAGACCGAACATTACGTATGTAAGATACATGAGATACGGAAGGGGTATGGAGAATTTAACAACCAAAGAACGCCACCTTTTCCACTCGCTCGAAGGTTTTATGTGCATGTCTAGAAATTCATCCGCCACAGACGTATATCTAGAGAGATTTCTTGCCGTGTTTAACTTTCTCTTATCTATCATTGCATCACTTGGAAATCTCTTGATTCTAGTTGCACTTCCAAAGACCTGTTCTCTTCACTCGCCGTCGAAGATCTTGTATCGCTGCTTGGCAACAACCGACTTTTGTGTTGGAGTCGTGGCACAACCAGCATTCGCCGTTCAATTGCTGTACAACAACGGAGAGCGACAAGAATTGTGTTACATGTCCCTCCGATTGGGTTTCTGTGCTGGGGTAATTCTTTGCGGCGTTTCCATGACAACACTAGCAGCTCTAAGCGTGGACAGACTCCTCGCATTGCTGCTGACGTTGAGATACAGACAGATTGTAACCGCGGCGCGTGTAAGAGCAGTTCTCGGTAGCTTTTGGATCACGAGCGCATTCGTGAGCACCACGTATTTTTGGAATGACAACGTTACCACGATCATAGGTTGCACTGCACCTTTCATTTGTTTATCAATCTCGTCACTGTCTTACGCGAAGATGTGTCAATCTCTCAGACGACGTCACGTCCAAATAGCCTGCAAAAATAAGAATATCCCTATAAATATAGCACGTTACAAGAAGACGGTGTCTACAGCGATATACATTCAGCTGTTCTTTGTAGTTTGTTACCTTCCGTACGGTATCGTTACAACTGTGTTGGCTGTGAGTGGATTAAAACCATCTTTGGTACTACCTTGGGCATCGAGTTATTGCCTTCTCTTGATCAATTCGTCCATAAATCCGTTTCTTTACATCTGGAGGATCAGGGATGTACGACAAGCAGTGAAGAACACAATCAGATGGGCATAGTTTGATGCTACTCTGGTTTGCAGATTTAATGAATGTAACCAAAGAAATTACAATTCATAGACCCCACGTTTCGACACTCCTGTCTAGTGCCTTTACCAGGGGTGATCTAAACGCTGCAACAAGAGGTCCTTTTATATGATCACTAATTAGCGGCCTTTTTTCTGACGAGGTGTAAATAGGCGTCAGGAAGCAAACCGCCATCGTCACGATTTAAAGGAGCGTGGGCGGAGTTAATATGCCAAAGTCTATGGGTCTATGAATTGTAACTTCTTTGGTTACATTCATTAAATCTGCAAACCAGAGTAGCATCAAACTATGTCTGATTGTCCACCTGGTTGCCGTGTGAACTTTAATATACAATCAGATGGAGTAACTAATTGCGAACAGAGATATATGTAAGAGGGACTGTGGTTATTCATTGTCGTAAAATGCAGTGATAACTAGGTGTTATCCTTTTTCTCATGACGCCGTCACTTCTGATGTGGAACACATCGTTCGCGAGCGAAGAGTTGCTCGGTACTTGAAAAGATTCATGCTTCATTCAGATTGGTTGGTTTTTAAAAGTTTTGACTGGCGCCATTTAATGATGTGTTCCCACGACGGTCACCGACGGTCATCGACGGTCGATCGGCACTCGTGTTGTTGTGTTCAGTTCTCCATTGTGCACGGCATCAATGCTTCCAGGATTTCTGTTCAACCTGTTTATTATTTCTATTCTAACTATTGATGTTGATAGGTTGAAGTTTTATGCCGATCGTCTCCTTTAGTATGTGTCTGTGTCTCTGTGTTTGAAGAAGACTGGCAGTATGCATTCGGAATACTGATCACGGCAATTCACGTCTGAAATGATCACTTCGTCAGATAAATGATGATACTATATTGTCAAAATCCCTACCTGTGAATGTGGAACTAAATGGAATCAGTCAGGCTTTTTAGTCAGCTCCTCATGATGCTCCATTTATGATAATTTTACAGTTTAGGTTTGCTCAGAGTTGGACTTGAATCACCGAGAAAAGAAACAATGAGAGATGAAAAAAGCACATTACACCCGGTATATTCTTTATTTTTTTCCTGAAAAAAAAAGATCTATATTGGCTGCTGGTCGACTGTGAAGTTAAAAATGAAAATTTGCACAAATGAAAAAATTCACAAGTAGGAAATTGCTAGAAGATGAAAAAGCCAAACAGGACGAGTCAAACCATGATAGAAAACTTTGCTATTTATTCATGTTTAATTTTTCACGGAAGTTTACCAGTAACCTTCGAGCTGACGTACTTGGCAATCTGCCAAGAGGGATGGACAAAATAGGCCGCACACTGGTACCAAGGCAAAGATGAGCTCGACAGCGAGCGACCGCCTTGGTTGAGAAAGGGCACCCTCCTCCCACTCTTGCCCAATTAATCCTATCGCTGCGACAACCACATTTCGGTATTCAACCAAAATCCAGCTGCGATCATCCGGGTCTCTGGTGTGATCCCAGCGAGAACGCGTCTGGATTTGCGTGGGATCCCTGCGGGATAGCGGCACATTCTTAGCATTATCGTCGCGAGCCCCTCGGCGAGATACCACAAAAAGTGCACTTATCAGTTCTTACTCCAAACTTTATCAAAGTTGTTCTGAAACCTCAAGTTGGTAAGGATTTCTCAAAATCACTCCTTTTGGCTCCAAACGAGACAAAAAACTCCCATCTGCAACTTGACTGTTTGGGGTTGTTTAAAAACTGATCAACAAACAACTTGTTTAATAAATAGCGCGTGCGACAACCTTTACAAAATATGTCAACATCAATAATTTAAAGTGCTAAGTCAAAACATGATCATTCGTGTCAGTTTGAGCCCACTTCTGTGAGTGTCATATTGCATATTGCAGCATTTTATACACTTGAAAAACAGGAATAGGAATCCACTTCTAAGCCTAAATTCACACAGATCAGACCATCATGGACGAGTTTTTACGGGGTATGCGCTTGGATATTACGTCTGTCTGAGCAAAGTAAAAGTAAACGAGTAGCTGTGAATTTTGTTATCGCCCAGACTGTTTTTTGGGAAGGTAGTTAACAGAAATGTATCGTTTTATTTCAATACTTCGCAAGATAAAAAGCGCTTGTTATAATATTAACAAATAATACTGTCCGAAGTGACACAAACGTAAGCATGGGCACGACTTTACATACTCGTGTACATCTCATCCTCTGGAACGTACGACATTGACCGATCAGAGGCCGCAGAGGACACTGGGACTGAAGGTGACTGCGAAAGGCTCCTGCCTAGTGCCGGTGAGGTCATCGTAGTTGCGTGCGATCCTGTTGAACTGCACGATGAAAACAGCGCTTTTAAACTTGTGCGGAAATTCTGATACATTGTGAGGTAGAGTAGAGGATAAGTACCACAACGCAAAAAACGAAGAAGCTCGAGTATTAGCCAAATGTTGAAATAATCACCTGAAGTTTGACCGAACACGTGTAAGGTGTGAGCCAAAATGAGGGGACCGGAGCAAATGTACTGCAAAACTATCATTAATAAAAGCATCCACGTCATTTTTCGACGCTTTTTGTGAAGAATTGCATTACCTCCTGACGCAGTGCTTCTTGGTTCTTGTAATTTATGGAAAACTTTGACAAAAACGAAGATAAACAAAGTTATTGGCGTTAGAAATAGCAGTAATAACACTACCACTGAATAGAATGTTTGTTCAATGTCAGAATTCCAAGTTTGCGTACATATTTGCTTTGCTTCTCCGTTGGGAAACTTGAATTCTTTAACATCGTAAGCGTAAATATATGGTGCAAACACCAGACACGATAAAATCCATATTAATGCGATGGCAAAGGCAGGTTTCTTGATAAGAAAAACCTGCCTGTGTCTTATCGGAAGACAAATTCCATAAAAGCGATCTATACTTGCCAAGCAAAGTGTGAACATGATAACTGCATACGACGCATGAACAAGGAAATAGCAAAGTTTACAGGTTCCAATTCCGTTGCTCCATTGTAATTTAGCATTGTTTAGGGTAAATGTGGCAGAAAACGATGATACGATGTCCGATACTGCCATGTTTGCAATAAACACATCCATGTATGTTCTAAGGTTCGTGTTCTGCGTATATAGAGCGGTTAGAATCGTGATATTGCCGATCAAAGACAAAAACACAATAACTAGTAAAAACGCAAAGTAAAAGTCAACCAGAGATGCGTCAATGTTTGCGAGAACGATCCCAGAATTTGTTGAAACCATCGTGGCTTCCGTCTGCTGGTACCAAACACTTACAAGACACGGAGAACTCAGCAAACAGCAAGACAGTCGTCTTCCAGCCGCCAACAAGTTTGCCACTCTTGGTGAGAAGCTCACAGAAAGTTTTCCAATTCTTTACGTTTCCTGTTTTTAAAAACAACGTCAGCGTGTGTTATTTTTTCTTGAATATTTTGACAAATCAAGTTTCGCCAAGCGTTGCCACGCTTATTCTTGTTAAGTGCACCCTGATTTCATGCCAACTCCTGGATGACGCAAATTGCTTCACCAGAAATTTGAAATCTATCTGCAGATCTCTTGGGTTGTTAGTTCAGCTTTGAGGCGTTCGTTTGTTTGTGTGTTCAACCAATCTATTTCGATTACGGAGTTTACATTCCCGCCAAAGGGAAAACGTTTCTTGAAACATCAAACAAACAGTTCCAAAGCGGTGTTAATGGATGTGTCAGGTACTGTTTCTGGTCAAAACGAGCGGCAGAAATCGCAGGTTTGACGCAGTTTGTTGTCTAAAGCGTCAGTATGTCCGTTTGACTTAAACTAATCACTTTATGCCTTGAAAACCTTACGATTTGGATAACAAAAGAAAGCTCATTAGAAACGACTAAATGTATTGTATGAAATAATTACTGGTGTCACCCGGGAGACAGCTCAGGCAACCAATGAACTCTAAGTATTCTTCTCTGTTGACAACTGAACTTAATAAACTTCAAGAAACTCTCAAAACATGTTACTTTTTTATTTAAATCACGAAGAGAAGTTGTTTGACGTACTGTGTAACTAAGAAAATTCATGCACAGGTTTTCATTGTGCATTTTGCTCTTTACTCTCTTCCTTAAAAAACGACATGGATCGATCCATTACTTTAAATTTAGTGCTCGTTATACTTCAGTGAACATACCCGAGCATAAGACTAAAACGTTTGGTATCTTTACTTAGAAATGACTTACAAGCTAAATACGCCACTAAATATCATGGAATTAAGCACTTCAGTGATCGTACACGAGAATAAAAACGACTTAACGATAGAATTAGTAAAATTAAAGTCAAAATCCTACGAGGAACAACAAATAATTAATAAATGACAAAACAAATTCCACAAAAGCCTCGTAGCCCTCAAAGTAACCACCGCAGAGACAAAGAAATATTAGTGTTATTGACTCGGCTTTATTAAAACCGGTGCTTTCACTCCGGGATTCTTTAAACTCACTATTTACAGGGCACAGCGGCAGTCTATCTTCTCTTGATAAAAATAATTGTAATGCTTTATCAAACTAACGTGGCTTTTTCTGATACCGTCTGGCGTGCAGGCGGGTTGTAATGGCGGGCATTGTTTTTAAGTGCTCCTTTTTTCAAACAATTCTTGAACTTTTCGGATTGAAGAAATAATTCATATAATAAAAGAATAAAGAAAAGTTTAAAGTCGTAAATCGGATACAATTTGATGCAGCTTTTTAGTCAGAGCCAGTGGGGGGTAAGATTGGAGACAATTGAGTTTTCGCTCGAGTTCCAACTGCGTCATCGTACATGTTATGATGTTTAGAAGGTCACAAAAGGGGGCAACATGGTCCACAGCCAATCATAAATCAGAATCTGGCTTACAACTATGGCATGGGCCCAGTTTATGGCAGCTTTATGAATGCTCAATGCATCATTTACATATCATAACCCGCTTCCTATTTGCCTGTGGATAATAGTGCCCCCTTATATCACTGACAATTAACTCTCAAGGTGCATCCCTCCACCTAGGATAGCAATTCCACTCCCGGTAAAGTATTGGTACATGGAGACTGCTACCCATCTCTGCCAGCTTTGTGCTATCGTCGTCCATGGTTCTTCTCCGGCTGTTCCTGGGACGACCGACCTTAGCTCCTTTTCTCCTGTTGATTTTACCTCAGCGGATGCTTGTAGACCTAGACATATACATGGATACCGGCAAATTGTCTAGGAAAATAGAATACATGTTTGCATTTGCATCCGATGGACCAGCATCCAATCCATGAGCAGTAGCTGATCCACCGGAGAGGATTCTGTGGGTCAACATCAGAGCTGTGGATTTTCTTACTACTTCTCCGACACCATAATACTTACAACGACAGGTTTGCATGCTATGACTTAGGACTTAAGTGCTTACAATCTGTATGACTTACTAGTCTTGAATTTTTATTAACTTATACAGGCTGTAGTCTGTAGTATATATATTTCCAGGTTTTCTAAATCAAGGTGGGATCCCCTTGTGGAAAATTCCTGGATACACCCCTGATGAGGAACTTGGGTGGCAGAAAGATCATCCCGGCCACTGAATCTTACAGAAACCAGATGAAGTTCCAGCGGTGTCCTTGCGAGTTGGCCTGTTGCTTTGCATATGAGAGGTCATTACCAGTTATTGCTGTTTGTTCAAGGCCAGCTTGGTGATGGTGCCCCACGTGTGGTTACACACTTTTATCTCTCCATCCACTGTATGACGCCAGGTGATCTTGGGTCTGCTTCTCTTTCTCCTCCCTACAGGAATACAAGTCAGTGGAGCGTCATACACGTGATGCTATCTGTTTCCCTTCTCAGGACATGTTCGATCCTTCTCCACCGCCCTCAGAGAAGGGTGGTGCCCATGTGGTTAAATGATACCTCTGTTTCAAGCTCAACCGCCTTTCGTTACCTCTAATTATCATATAGTCAACAAAACATGTACTCGTCACAGATTGCGTGATAGGAAACAAATGCATTGGTGAATTGTACCTTCACAATCTGCTCTCAGTGCCACGGTAATTTGATGATTTAAGAACGTTATTAATTTGAAAAAGATAAAATTTGTCACAAGGGATTTTCTGGAAGTTTCAAAGCTTTAAACATCCCAGCACGGGCCTATAATTTGCAAAATATACTCCCGCGATGGGTATGATTTCCAGTTTCATTTTATAGTCAAGTAACTTAGCGTTTTCCTCATAATAACGTTGTTACTTCTTAATATTTTGGCCTCCTCCTCCTTCTTGTCCTTAACAAGAGGACGTAAATTGCAGTTTATATTCTCTTGTCCTTTAACTGGTCAATATCAGGCAGCACATATAAGATCAAGATTCCCAGATGACTTAGAGATGTTTTATCATCTGTTTCACAGTGTAGAGTTAGGCTATCAATATGATAAAACATCTATCAAGTTAATCACCACGATGAATAGTAACATATTCTCTAACATTTCCAGATAAGTTTGCAAATTTAAACTGACGGTGTCGAGTCGAGAGGACGATTGTTGAGAATGGTGATAGAGGTTGGAACGTAAGGTTCACGATTTTAAAATGTATGGGGATTTTTAAGGAATATAATTATTCCTTCTAATTGCATCATCTATTGCAATTTGTGAGTCCAAATAAGCTAATGCAATTCGCTGCCTTTTCTCACTCCTAGCCTTCATATCGAATTTCGCCGATTAGCTGATGCCTAAACTAATATAAAATATAATACTTAATCCTTCCTTCCAAACCAGATGCGTTTTTCTATTATCATTTTCAACCAATTACAAGTCATATTTCATCGTCATCACCATCTTCGCCGTCGTCATTTTTGATCTTATCGTTGTCTTCGTCATGTTCGTTTACGTTATTGTTGTCGTCATCTAGATCGTCATTGTCGTCGTTGTTGTCATCGTTTTTATCATCATTATAGTTTTTGTTGAGGTTGTCATCACTTATCCTTGCGGTTATGATTGTCGTTACCGTTACCATCGTCTCTGTCGTCATCGCTACCATCGTCATTGTCGTTACTGTTATCGTTGTCATTGTCGTTATCGTTATCATCGTCATTGTTGTTATCATTACCATCGTCATTGTCCTCATCGTTACATCGTCACTTTCCTCATCGTTACCATCGTCATTGTCCTCATCGTTACATCGTCACTGTCCTCATCATTACCATCGTCATTGTCCTCATCGTTACCATCATCGTTGTCGTTGTCGGTGTCGTTGTCGTTACCATCGTCATTGTCCTCATCGTTACCATTATCATTGTCGCTGTCGTTACCATCGTCATTGTCGTCATCGTTACCTTCGTCATTGTCGTTATTGTTACCATCATCATTTTCGTTGTCGTTGTCGTTACCATCGTCAGAGTCGTTATCGTTTCATCGTCATCGTCGTCATCGTTACCATTGTCATCGTCGTTATCGTTACCTTCGTCATGGTCGTTATCGTTACCATAGTCATTGTCGTCATCGTTACCATCGTCATTGTCGTCATCGTTACCATAGTACCATAGTCATTTTCGTCATCGTTACCATCGTCATTGTCGTCCTCGTTACCATGATCATTGTCGTCATCGTTACCATCGTCATTGTCGTCATCGTTAACATTGTCATTGTCGTCATCGTTACCATCGTCATTTTCCTCGTCTTTACCATGATCATTGTCGTTATTGTCATGACCGTCATTGTCGTCATCTTTACCAACATCATTGTCGTTATCGTTATCATCGTCATCGTCGTTATCGTTATCATCGTCATTGTCGTTATCGTTACCATCGTCATTGTCGTCATTGTCCTCATCGTTACCATGGTCATTATCGCCCTCGTTACCATGGTCATTGTCGTCATCGTTACCATCGTCATTGTCGTCATCGTTACCATCGTCATTGTCGTCATCGTTACTATTGTCATTGTCGTCATCGTTACCATCGTCATTGTCCTCGTCTTTACCATGATCATTGTCGTTATCGTCATTATCGTCATTGTCGTCATCTTTACCAACATCATTGTCGTTACCGTTGTCGGTGTTATCTTTGTCGTTACCGTTGTCGGTGTTATCTTTGTCATTATTGTTGCTGTTATCATCGTCGTTATCTTTTTATCCGAAAATATGGAACAAAATTCCCCAGTAGTATTGTTATGCTACGGGCAAATCCCTAAAAATCTTATGAGTTGCAAATGGAAATATTATCGGCATCCAGGCTTGGCCTTGCAAAGTTTTAAGCCATATTTTGGACTGAAAAAAAAATTATTCGCACGAATGAAACTTGTTTTATAAATTCATGGAAGTGTGATAAAAGTTAATTGGAAAGGGCTTCATGGAAGGAGCTTGGATTGGGACAAAACTTTATAACTGGCCCAAAGAATAATAGACTTTCATCTTCTAACATAAATATCATGCGAGCTCGGGGTAGAATCTAATAACTATCAGCCATTAAAACTTGGCAAAAAATGTGAGTGGATCACTAAAATTTATATCGTTAAGTGTCACCGACTCAAGGTTCTTGTCCAAATGGATAAAATCACCACGCACACCCATTGGATAATTTGTTTACCAGCTAGTGTGTGTTGTTGATGTCGGTCGATCATTCGATGGATAAAGTTCTCCAACTAAACTGAAAATGGCTCTTTTTACCCATTTTTGAATCTAAAATTCAACCAGAACGATCTTCTTTATTATTGGATTGCCTTCTCCCATTATGGCATAGGATCAAATTTTACCTTTTTTTTTAATTTTGCAAAAATATCGAAGGATGAACAATAACACTTCAGTGCCTTAACGTGGGGATATCAAATAAAATTGAAGCGAAAATTTACTCGTACAAAAGTTCCTATCTAGATAGATTGCGATAGAATGCTGCATGAAAGGCAAAATGGGTTCATGATTTCTTTCGCTGGGGGAGCTTTGTGAAAAATCAGCACGTGTGCTGTTGGCGGTTTTTTCATTTTAGTGTCATTAGCTGTAAACCAGAGATGTAAATAAAATGAATTAGAGAGAGAAAAGACGACAATGTTCTCTTTTATTAAATTTCAGGCGAGTGGATGGCGTGTATCAAAACAAAAAGATAAAAAAGGACGATGTCAAAGTGCTTTTATCCAGGAAACAAGTTAAGCTAACACACGATTAAGAGACTTCAAAATTAATTTTGAGTTTTTCGGGTTCGACCCGAAGGTGACGCTGTATTCGTTTGAACTGCACACTGAGAAAAAAAAAAGGTTCATAAGGAAACGAAGTGTTTGCGAAAATACCGCTCTATTAGTTCTAGAGTTATGTGTGTAAATTAGCACTCAGCACAAAGAGACCCGACCAGATCATTTTAAATATCGAAAGTTTTTAATTATGAGTCAATGGAGGGCCAATGTTTGCGAGTCCGTCAGGGAAAACGAATGATTGCCGTTAGAAACAGTTTCAAATCAATCTGACCAAGAAACAAGTCAAAAATAATTTTTTTACATTAGCCTTTCAACTGAAACAGATTTTTTTTAGTCTTGAGCTTCAACTAAGACAGCATCAATTAAAAGGAATTCCAATACCAGTTTTCCACCCGAACGTGAGTTGAAAACTAGGTTCAGCGTTGACATAATAAAAATCATGATGACTCATGATGGCTTCTCCTCAAATCGTCGGCAATTTCCCAGATCTGACAGACGCAATATCGTGAAGAAACAAAGCTTTCTTCACGACACAACTAATATTTGTTGTACAATTTTTTATTTCCTCTTGGATAAATTCGGTCTATTTTATTCATGCTCGTTACGACCTTGGGTTCAATGCAAACAGACCACAGAACTAACAAGAATTATTTAATAAGGATAAATTTTGCCTCCCTTTGTGTTGCATCAGGCGGCATCCTCGGAAAAGTTCCTTACTGATAAGCGTCTTAAACTTTTTAAACATTTCTTTGGTCTTCATCGCCAAAGCAACATTTATGCGATATGAGAATTGTGTGATCCAGATCTCAAGTAAGCGATCCCTTTGATGTGCACAAAAAGTCTTATAAAAATTTGATCTTACCGGCTAATTTCAACATTTGTTCGGCCTACGATTATTTGTGCTAAGAATTTAGCAAAATTCATCAAATTCTCTTTATTACTTTCCGAAAGACTTTTTATCCTACACAGTTTAATAAAATATAGTTATTATAAACCTGGTGTGGTCAAAAATTAACTCAAGTTATCATTGATTTGTGCATACAAGATAGAGACCGATTTTCGTTTGACAATCTCGTAGAAAGCTATATTAAGTATATTTGAATAAAAACTGACCAAGTGGATAAAATTTAACAAGTTATAATGTCTATATAATTCACTTGTTATGCGGTTGCAATGTGATCTCTGTTCTCTTTGATATAACAGGGCTGTTAAAAACAAAAGAGTAACTAATGAAAAGAGAAAAAGCCGCTTTTTGTCTTATTTGTAGAGTTGAATATTTTTTTCAAGAAAGTGGCTTCTTCTATTAAGCTCTTTGTAAATATTTTTTGTTTATATGAATATTTTTTGTTTAAGAGATCTGTGTATTAATCTCTGTTTAGAATGCCTATTTTAAGTTTTCCAAGTTCCTAATGAAAATAATTTTTCAGTCTCTTGGTGATTCTTGTGCAGTGAAGTCCTTCAATTTTCTACCGTTGTAGAAAGCTAAAGTTTCGAGCGTTAGCCCTTCGCCAGAACAACAATACGAAAAGTACGAGCTAAAAGATCAGTGTAAACGAGAGTTTGTCAAGAAGGAACGAAGGCGAATATGCTTAAATAACATTCTTTCTTAGCACCGAGGAATAAAGCTATTGGAGTCAGAATCGGATTGCATGTTATGCTGTTAGTTTCTCATCCTTAACCTCCTTTAAAAACAAATTTTAAAGCTTTCTCTTTCCTTGTTGTTTCCCCTGGAAAGAGCCTCTGAAGTCAAACTTCTCACTTCTATTTTTCAAAGATCTAGACCTCAAAGTAACGAAATAGCAATCCTTCAGAATTCACAGACATTCCTTTCGGCTTTCATCTTTTTTAAACTCCAAACAATCATATAAGTCGCTAATTTACCCATGGTCTTCGTCCTTATTCCGTTTTTACGATGAAATTTCACCGAATTAAGTGTTCTTCAAGTCAGCTTTACTTCATATCAAAACCATTTTCTATTAATGTAGGAAAGCTAGACTTTTTTCTTCTTTCTTTCTGCGACTCATGATCAACAGAAAGGGGTTCAGAATTCACTGCGGAACACAACTGAAGAGTAAGAGATTCGTTTGGCTTTCCATAGACGGTTAACGACGTGAACTCAAGGCTGCAGCATCTCTACTGCTCTTGAATACACTGTACGACTGTGCAGTAACAAATGTTCATGGTAAGCGTGTTTCAAGTTAAGATGCGACGCGACATGCACCATATTTCATCGCTGAATAATTACTTCAGGGGCGTTCCGAAGGTAATAATATTTTGATTCTTCACAAATTGTTTGTTACATCGTTCGCCAAACTGCCAAGCATGCAATTCTCAAAAAAAAAATCGCCTCGTGAATTCAAGTTTAAAACAAAGTCTTCGAGAGAAATCTTCAAATCCCTGAGGTGTTCATGTGACGAATCTTCAGAATAAAAACCGTTTATTCGAGTTCAAAGCAAGAAACAGATGCGTCTTAGTCTAAAAGGAGTTGTCTTTGAAAATGTTTGAAATTAAACCAGCGGCCTAATAAAGTGTAGCTTAATTCAATTTTGTTCAATTCTCTTTTCCCTTTTGATTAGAACATTGGAGCGAAAAAACAATAATATTACGACTACACAATTCAATCTTTTGATATTGAAAATCATTCGTTAATTGTCGGTTTTGTTTACGGCAAACGAGATAAGAAATACCGATTTACAATTACTTGCGAGTAAAGGCTTTTTTCTCACACCTATTCGCTGATTCCCTTCTAAGACAATAATTTTGCAAAACGCAATATACAATCTTAGTTGAGCACAAGTGGGTTGTTTTTATTAGCGGCTTTTCTTCTTCAATTCTTACGGCTCAGAATCCGTCTGGAATGATTTAAGTGGTGATTAAGCAAAATAGGGATTTATAAGCTGGAAAACCACATCAAAGTTAGCAAAGGCTTACCTTCGGTCGAAGAACCTTCATGAAAACACGCCTGTATTTATCTTCAATTGATTGGGATGACCCACGCTGTGTTTACAAAATAGAAAAAAGCCGTGCTGCACCATGAATGCGAAATATTACCAAGCCATGGGAATTTTTATCACAAAGTGATAAAAAATCTACTGTAAAAAATAATTGATCAGATCACAAAAAGCGTACATAAAGAACGAAAACAAACAAAACAAAAACAAAAACACAGATCTATGGAGCTCCAAAACAAGTGATTCAACCAGGTTTTTCTGATGTTTTTCGTGAATGCTATAGATCAGTGGAAGCTTGAAATAAAAAAGAAAAAAAAAAGAAACACAGTAGCTCGAGGCCTCAATCGAAGCATCCATTTTTCCTTTTTTGTGTGTTTAAGCGTACGATCTCGTTATCCCAAAGGAGAAATTGAAATATTAGGTAATAATTTTAAAGATCTCTTGGAAATAGTTACTGCTTTAAGTTGAAATATGCTTCACCAAACAACTCTAGAATCAAATTGAAATCAAGAACAATTTGAACTCAACTGTTGCAAAATTTCGTACTGTGGGAAGTTTTCTCCAGATCATACAGAAAGCTTGAAGAATAGTCGTGAAATAAATACATAAATAACGAAAAGATAATGGGAATTCTGTCCCATACAAACGGATCTTAAAAAGAACTTCAATTCGACAAGAACAAAGAGTGAGTGAAGTTTTCAGATGGTCAAGGTTTCTACCGCCGCCGGAGGCTAAGAAACATTCCATTGCCTCCTAGGCCCCTCTTACATCTCTGGACCTCAGCTGTTTTATCATTGTTGACTGAGTTTTGCGAGTGTCTCAAACTTCACTACTATATTCACGAAAGCGAGAAGGCAGGCTAACACTAAGGGGGGAGGAAAAGGGAGGAATCGCACTTTCGTTGGCCTTACCGCGCATGCGTGATCCCAAAGGGGCTTAAAGAGAAAGTTTCAATAGAGGAACGAAATGCAATAGGCATTAGAATTCTCGT